AAGGTATTCGCAGTTGGACAAAGAAGCAGCAGCAATCCTGTTTGGAGTGAAAAAGTTTCACCACTATTTGTATGGTAGATCTTTTGATCTAGTGACTGATAACAAACCTCTACACTACATTTTAGGTCCTAAAAAGGGTATTCCACAGACTGCTGCCAATAGGTTACAAAGAATAGCCCTGACACTATCAGCATACGATTTCACTATAAATCATGTTAAATCTGAGGCAAATGTTGCTGATTTCTTTTCAAGGTTTCCCAGTGAAGACGTTTGTGAAAATTTTATGCTGCAAGAAATGCAAAAGGGCGTTTACATGAATTATGTTTCTGAACGAAATATACCACTCTTGGACTTTGGCGTCATCCAAAGGGAAACAATGTCGGATCCAGTCTTGAAAAAGGTTAAAGAATACATAAATACTCAATGGCCGAATAAATGCAGTGAAGTAGAATTAAAACCATATTTTTTGCGTAGGTTTGAACTTTCTGAGGAAAACGGGTGTTTGTATTGGGGTTACAGGATTATAGTTCCTAACTCGCTACAAAATGGCATGGTGAAGTATTTGCACAGTTCCCACATGGGTATAAGCAAAACCAAGTCAATAGCCAGAGAGTGTTGTTGGTGGCCATGTCAAACTGTCGACATTGAAAACGAGATTAAAGCATGCCCTAGTTGCCTCATGACACGTCCAAATCCCCCTAAGCAGAAGTTGATACCTTGGCACTGGCCACAAACGCTTTGGGATAGAATACATATTGATTTTTTTGGACCGATGATGAGTCGTTGGTGTTTGGTAGTGGTAGATAGCCACAGCAAGTGGGTTGAATGTATAGATATGGGCACTAACACAACTAGTAGCAACACAATAGCAAAATTACGAGAAATTTTTGCTCGCTTTGGTCTACCACGAATGGTTGTTTCGGACAATGGCACAGCGTTTGTGCCCAAAGAGTTTCAAGATTTTTTAGCGAATAACGGCATAACGCACGTCACAACACCTGTAGGCTACCCGGCTACAAACGGCCAGGCGGAAAACATGGTAAAAAGTATAAAAAATGCATTAAAGAGAATTTTGTTCAGGAAAAGTTGCATACAATTCAGCGAAGCATTAACCCGATATATTTTCGACTACCGCAATACAAAGCACATCACAACAGGTTTGTCTCCTGCGGAATTGATGTTTGGTAGGCAGTTACGAAATAGATTCGACTTAATAAATCCAAAGAAAAATACTTGTAATATAGAGTTAAAACACGTCGATAGAAATGTTAAGAAAAATCAAAATGGTCAAAAATTCTATTATAAGGGGAAAAAGAATTATGTTTTTGAAGTCAACGAATTAGTTTTAACGAAGGATTACTCAGTTCCCGGGCGTGTTTCTTGGGTGAGGGGGAAAATAATAAGAAAAATTGGTAAACAAACGTATTCCATCCAGATAGAGGCGAAAAATAAAATTTGGAAAAGACATTCGAATCAAATGCTCAAAATCGCAGAGGGAAATAAAATAGGTTCTAATGGAAGGGGATATTTTCCAACTACATTAAAAAATACAGAAAAGCTGCAACTAACAAATGAACATGAAATAGCCGATGAGTCTAAAATTGTAGAGAACAATGCTAATAGAAATAGGCAAAATGAAAAATCTAAAATTAACGAAAACCATGAAGCTTTTAGAAAACATAAGTATAATCTAAGAAGTACAACTAATAAGCAATGAATTACACACTTGTAAAGATTGAACGACTGAAAACAAAGAGGCGGGATAGTTGTGGTAACTCGCATTAGAAGTTAATGAGAGTTTTCTCTTATACATA